GGCTCTGCAAGTAAGCTTTGCCCTCTCCCCAAGAGTGCCAGAGTGTGCCCTTTGATAAACTGCGAGTCCTCTCGCAGGACAGGCTCTGGAATCAAGCATCACCTTGAAGAGCAATCAAGGGTTAGTGCTTGAGGTCGCCCTCGCTGGGCTGCTGCTGCCATTTCCCTCCAAGTTCGGTCTGATGTTTCTTTGTCACAGCCAGAGGGAGCTTGCTTTCCTTCCTGCCTGGGCCTTCACATTTTATTTTACTGTACTTGCTAATAAGTTCTTTTTTAAGAACTCTATTTTTAAAATAAGAGTAATATATACTCACTCAAGGAAAATTGGAATCGTGTCGAAAATATAAATGGAAATCCCATCACACATAGCACCATCATCTAAACATACTTATAGTAATGTTGGTTTATTGCCTTCTGGACTCAAAAACAGAAAAACACCTCCCTGCCATCAAGTCGGGGGCAGCTCATAGCAACCCTACAGGACAGGCTAGAACTACCCCGTGAATTTTTTTTTTAAATCATTTTATTGGGGGCTCGTACCATTCTTATCACAATGCATCCATTCATCCATTGTGTCAAGCACATTTGTACACTTGTTGCCATCATCATTTTCAAAACTTTTTCTTTTATTAAAAATTTTTTTTAAATCATTTTATTAGGGGCTCATACAACTCTTATCACAATCCATACATACATCAATTGTGTAAAGCACATTTATATATCCTGTGAATTTTTAAGACTGTAATTGTTCATGGAAGTAGGAAACCGCATTCTTCTCCCAAGGAGCAGCTGGTGGTTTTGAACTGCTGGCCCTGCAAATCACAGCCCAACATATAACCACTGCACTATAAATAATGTGGCGACTCCCACGGCAGATGCAAGTCCCAGTGTTTCTTTGGCTGTCATATCATACCAGGGGAGTTTTCCCAGGTCAGGCAGAGCGCTCTTGGGAACCTGAAGGCTGATGTTTCTACAGTTTCCATTCAACCACATCCCTGCCCTGCTTCCTACCCTCTCGTTGGCTCCTCGCCGACCAGTCTGGGAGGTAAAGTCTCTGCCCCCTCCTGCCACTTACACAACTCCATGTGATACGGTCCCCGCGTCCCTCTCGGGGGCTATCTGTTCCTGCTTCTGCCAGCTTTCCTCCCCAGCAGCCCTCACCTAACACAGTCACTTGCCACCCCCTCATGTACCAAAACCCCAAACCCAGTGCTGTCGAGTGGCCTCCATCTGCTGTCACTGCTGTGGGACAGCGTGGAGCTGCCCGTGGGGTTGCCAAGGCTGTCAGCTCTGCGGAAGCAGATGGCTGCGTCTTTTTTCTGCAGAGTGGGGGGTGGCTTCAGAGCTCTGGCCTTCTGGTTCACAGCCCAGCACTTTAACCACCGCGTCACCAGGATCCCTCACAGGGACTCCCTACTCCACCCCTCTGTAGAGCTGCCTGCCCCATTTTCATTCTCCCCAGAACTCTTCCGGTCTCCACGAGCACTGCTCTGTCTTACATGACCAGGGGCATTCTGGGAACCAGGTCTTAGACACCTGTATTTCTCAGATGCTTTGCAAATATCCTGTATACAGTAGATTCTCAGGAAATACTTGCTTCTCGGCTTTGCAAATATCCTGGCTGCAGCAGATTCTCCGTAAACATTTGCTGTCGTGCAAGCACGTGGTCGATTGCAATCCTGCGTCCTGGGATCTGTGCCGAGGACTAGTTTAAAGGGCGCTTACAGGAGCCCAGAGGCAGGCATTCTTTGGGGCATGTGATCACAGGCTCGGCCAACAGGAGGTCGGTTCAGTTGTTTAAGATAGGTCCATTGTTAATGCGGGAAAGGCCTTCCTCCCTCCTTATTCAGGTGTTAGGCTCCTGTGTGCATTTCCACCCCCTGACCTTGGGCCGCCTGTACTTTGTACCGAGCTACTATAGCTCTGAACTGCGGGCAGGGCAAATGGCCTCCCTGTGGCCGCAGAGCCCACCACTCACCTGCGCTTCCTCCCAGGAGCAGATCTGGTGGGTGACTGCCCTTGATTGGAGGACTACAGGGCGGAGCAGTTGTTAGCACCCTACTGCTACCCGGAATGTTGACAGTCCTAGCCTACCAGCCACGTACTTCCAACATGTTGAGGCTGTCTCCCCTGTCCTGTGGGGTCACTTGGAGTAGATGGGAGTTCCCTGGACGGCAGGGGGTTGTTTGGGCCCCTACATGGGGCCCAGCATTCCAACTCCAGCACAAGCAGCTGGGACATGAGCTTGTGTTATCGGGAGCATGTCTATCCAACCCCTTTACTTGAAGATTTCCCAGCAGACAGCGCCCGCTCGCCGCCTCTGCTCCCTTCCTTCCACCCCCCCACGCCCCCCCCCCTGAAGATGGCACAGCCCTGTTTTGCTTGTGGGAGGACAAGCAAGAGGACGTGGAGCTACGTCCCCTCTGTGGCCCCCAGGACTTCTCCAGTGTCCTTCATTCCGCACAGCAGTTGAGGGTGGGCCACTCTGAGCCGAGTCTCAGCCACTGGAGGCCTGTCTCTGACCTGGCTGTCACCAGCCAGCATGATGCCGCACAAAGGCCGTGACAGGCACGAGGAGAGGGGCAAGGGAAGTGAAAGCCATGTAATGAGATCAATTGCCGGCCGAGTCCAGCCACGTGGGGAGCCTGTCTCTGGCGATGGCACCAAGGGACATGCTGGAAAGCCTGCCTGTCCACTGGGTTGCCAAGCCTCAGCACCAGCCTCCCTCATTTCCTTAATGACTGGTTGCAGATCCTGTGTCTGTAATTGAGCTCAACCCTTCTTGACCTTATTGATATTTTTAGCCCATGCGGCTTCTCTGGGCACTAGGCACCACGACTCGTTTTGTGAAAAAAACAACCTTTCTCATGGAAAGGTAAGGACGTCTTCCCACCATCTGGAAGACCCCTGCCCTCTTAATTCTAGTTTCTAGTGTTGGTAACAAGGAGCCCTGGTGGCATAGTGCTTACAGGTTGGGCTGCTAACCTCCAGGCCAGCAGTTCAAAACCACTGGCCACTCCACAGGAGAGAGATGGCACTTTTTGCGCCTGTAAAGTCAGAGTCTTGGAAGTGCACAGGCGCAGTCCCTGCCCTGCGGGGCCATCATGAGCCAGAACTGACTTGATGGCAGGGAATTTCATGTTGGTCACAAGCTTTGGGCCCTTGGCACATTTTGTGGATTTGGGGGCAGCATGGGGACCAAAGGAGGCTGCCATTTCCTCTGAGCTCAGTTTTCCAGATCCAAAGATAGATATTCTCTGCCTGTCCTCGCAGAATGCCCACTGGGCACCTCAGTTGCTTTTTTGTTTCCCCGGCCCTTTCCCTCTCCCATTGGGCTTAAGCTGAAACAGGGCTGGGAGCATGTGTGGCAGGCATCCCGAGGGTGGGGAGCTTAAGACCCAGGGGGAGCCTTTTGTTCCTAGTACCCTTAGGGTGGCACTGGTTTTTTTATCTTCAGGGCTTTAACCCAGAGCTGGTGAGGCCTAGGCTGCTGAAGTGAAGCCTTGCTCCCCTCCGGAGCTGGTTCCGGCGGGCCGCCTGGAAGGCTGGCTCCCATGTGTCTCTGTGTTCCTGCTCCTGTCCCATCATTTCCCCACGGTGATGGATTTCAAAGGACTGCCTATCCACATTGCATCTGCCAATTTGGATCATGAAATAACTAAGTATCACTGTGTGGTCTCCTTCTGGGGAGCTTGCCCAGATGCTATGCCTGGCCCCACTTAGAGTATCTTAGGACTGACAGCTCCACCCCTGGGGGAAACAATTTAATCCCCCCAATTGCTTTCTCAGCCTTACAAAAATCTGGCAAGGGATCTGATTTGAAATTTGAGGGGGGAAATGGAAAGAGAGCAATTTTAGCTGTTTGTGTAAGATGTGATCATGAGTTAAAATTCAGGGTCCTTTGCCTGTCAGGAGCCCTGGTGGTGTAGTAGGCTATGCATCAAACTGCCAACCACGGAGTTAACAGTTCAAGCTCACCAGCTGCCCCAGGGGAGGAAGACGAAGCTATTGACTCCCATATAGAGTTACTGTCACAGAAATCCACAGGGGTGGTCCCTCTATGTCCTATAAGGTCACTGTTAATTGGCATCAGTTTGATAGCAGTGAGCTTGGAGTTTGCCCTTAACTCTTTCCTGAGTGAAATTCCTTTCATTTGTTTTCACAAACCTGCAGCAATTTAATGTAAGGAAAGGGCTTAAAAAGTGAAACAAATCCCTGAATAAATTTAATCTTAGCAAACTTTTTTTTCAGTTTTTTTTTTAAACTTAGCAAAGTCCTCTTTTTTTTTTTTAAGTGTAAATCTATTAGCTTACTACGCCTCATTGGCCTCTGCAAAAGGCCTGTAGGTGATTTAAGGAAGCTTGCTTTTCCCATACTAGTCCTAAATGGGAGCCCTGGTGACGCAGTGGCTGTGCATTGGGCTTCTAGTCACAAGGTCAGCAGTTCGAAACCAGCAGGCTCTCCGAGGGAGAAAGACAAGGCTTTCTGTGCCTGTAAAGAGCTGCAGTCTCGGAAACCCACCGAGGTCATTCCACCTGGTCCTTAGGGTCCCGATGAGTTAGAGTCAACTCGATAGCCGTGAGTTTGGGTTGTTTGTTTTTTACTCCTCCCTGAGATCACCCCTTCCCTTGTCGGTTGTCACTTGGCTGTGTGACCACTGGTTTTCTGTGCTGACGGCGTATTTGTTGTAGGCCTGAAATGATTGACTATCCCTCTGCAGCTTGCTCCCTGAGACAAGTCACTCTGTCCACTATGTCTGGGGAAGTGTCTGGACTGAGATGTCCAGTCCATCCTGAAGCCCGAGAGGGTGGCCGCGCTGGGCTCCCTGCTGCGGGGAGGCACGGGTCCCAGTCTCCTGGCCCTTCATTGCAGGTCCCTGAGCGCAGCCTCAGCGCTGCTGTCTCAAGTTGGCTGTGGAGGAGGCCGAGGGGCAGGGGACTGTCCGGCTCCAAGGAAACGTTGCTGTGCTTGATTTCCTGAGGCTGTTGGTTCTCTTTGCAGAGTCTAGAAGAAGGCTCCTACCGGGGAAGCTTGAAAGACCCCTCAGGCTGCCTGAATGAGGGGATGGCCCCTCCCACTCCCCCCAGAAACCTGGAAGAAGAGCAGAAAGCCAAGGCGCTGCGAGGCCGGATGTAAGTGCCCCCTGGTCCCACTCTGGTGCGAGGCCAGAAGAGTGAATGGTGGCCAGTGAGCAGGGCTGGGGGAGGAGGCTCCCTGGATTGTGACCCAGATCAGCATGACATGCCCTTGATGAACAGTGGGCCACTCTGTCATCGAGTTTTAGAATTTCAGGCTGAAGTATATTCTGGAAGGTAGCCGCTGCTGTAACAGAGGGGCGAGGGGGGGTTGTCACGGAGATCTGTTGGAGGAGGAAATAGGCAGCAAAGTTTAGGGAACTGTGTGTGGCTCCGACGGAGGATCTGTAGAACCCGAGAACCCCTAACCTTCACTGGGAGAGTTGGATGGCAGTCTCCTGAGCAAAGAGAACCCCCATGTCGTCAAGAGGGAACTGCACAACCTGTGACACCAGGCCGGGTCCTGGTGGCATTTGCATCTCCTGAGTTCGTCATCCCAAGAGCACCTCCTCTCCAGTTGTGTTTTCCCCAGCGAGGCGGTACAATACAATTTCCTTACTGATCATTTCTTACATGCGAGGCTTGCGTTATCTGCCCCGATGTGAAGTCAATCTGATAATATCTGAGATGATCAAGACGAGAGGCCATTGCTCTTTCAAAGTCGCACCTCCCCGACGTTTCAGTTGTGCAGTCTGGTGTTGGACTCTGCTTGGGAAGCGGAGTTCCTGGGGCGTCTGGCCACGGTTCCGTATGGGAGGGGCTGTCAGCAGCAGTGACGGGTGGGTGGGCTTGGCATAGCATGCAGGAGTTCTCCCTTTGCCCTTAAATGCATCGCTCTCTCAGTCTGGGCAGCAATGTCAAGGTCAGTGAAGCAAATGCGGCCAGCGCCCTCTGTGCAGGGGAAAGGCTAAGCGAACATCAATGACTTCGTTTCCCAGGAAGCCGCGGTGGAAACATCCTTACCAGGGGCTAGTTTCGAGCAGGGCTCTCCCCTCATAGTGGCAGGTGAGCAAATAGCACCTAGGTCCTTTAGCTCCCTACTTGCCCCCACCTGAAGGGGACAAGGGGCAGTCCCAAGGCTGATGGATGGGATTTGTTGTGTGTCCTTGAGTCAATTCTGATTCACGGTGAATTCTATTCACGGAATAGAATTGCCCCAGGGAGTTCAGGGTTGTATCTTTCTGGGAGAAAAATGCCACGTGTCTCTCCCACGGAGTTTGGTGAGTTCAAGCCACCGAACTTGCTGTTAGCCCCGTGAGCTGACCACTGTACCCTGGGTAGAGGACTACCACGCCCAGAGAGATTCCCGGGACCTGCCCAGCTTGCAGGCTCACCTCAGCCTCCCAGGTTGTTTCACAGGCGAGGCAGAGTTGGAGCTGGTTTTCTGGTGCCCTGTGCAATCAGAACAAACTGTGCCTCAGGGCAGTGAACGTCACTGACCGGAGGGTGGGAGGGTAGCAGCTGGTCCTTGGTCAAACCAGTGCCTGCTCTCCTCACCGAGGCTGAGTGGGCCCATGAGCCCACACCTGCTTCATGTACCTGACCGGTCTTCTTCCACACATGGCCCTGCCTGCTGTGGCTACAACAGCAAAGGCATGCTGCCTCTTGTCCCCGTTTACCCATCTCATCTCCCTCCACTCCCTCTCTTGTCCTGAAAGTCCGTCTTTTAGAACATCTCGTCTCTCTTACTGGCTAGCCTCCCTGTTCTGTCCTGTTGGGATTCGTGGCCACGGTGAAAAGAGGGTGTGTGGATGTTCCATTGCTAACCCAGAAAACCAAGACTTCACCTGGAAAATGGCAGTGAGATTTCAGAAGGTTACATAAGCTCTCTGTGGAGAAAAGATGCAAAGAAATAATGACTTCCCCAGCAGAAGAAAGATGTGAGAGTGATCTTAATGGTCTTCAAGCTTTAGTCATGTATTAACTCAAAAAGTATTTATTGAGCACCTATTAGGGACCAGGGAGCCCTAGTTAATGGCAGAGTGGTTACACGTTGGGCTGCTAGCCACAAGTCAGCAGTTCGAAACCAGCAGCTGCTCCTCGGGAGAAAGGTGAGGCTTTCTACTCGTATAAAGGGTTACAGCCTCAGAAACCCACAGGATCCCTGAGTTGGCATGGACTCCATGGCAGTGAGCTCTGTGCACCAGGTGCTTGGCACGTCGTGCACGGAATAGACCGCAACACGCCCTTGCTCGTGTGGAATTTGCGTTCTAGTGGGACAACCAGACCATAAACCACATAAAACAAATTGTACGGTATGCTAGAAGCTCGGGGGAGAGAGAGAGAGAGAGAGAGAGAGAGAAAATCAGAGCACAGGAAGGGACTTTGAGTGGATAGAGGAGAAAGCCAGATGACCCTTTTAAGTGGGTGCGACATTCACATAGAGACCAGAAGGAGGTGAGGAAGGAGCCATTCGCCATTAGTCCTGAGGGTCTCCCGCTGCTCTGTCACTCCTATACAGAGTGACCATCTCAGAAACCCCCAGGGGCAGCTCTACCCTGTTGTCCAGGGTCCCTGGGAGTCGGTTGGCCGCGAGGGCAGTGCGTGTGCATGTTGTCAGCCATAGGGATCCACAGAAGCAAGCAGGAGTCAGTGCCAAAGCTGTCTAAGAGTTTCTGGGGCCGAGCAGCCATCCCCTCCCACCTGGAAGAGGGTTCAGACTGTGGATGGCAGACGTTTAGAAGGACCAACGCATAACATTTACTTTGTAAAACACTTGTACGAATAAGAACCGCTTATTTTTTTTTAAAAAAGTCTTTATCAGCCATTCTGTATCCTTGGCAGCTAATCGTGCACTGTCATACAATGCATCTAATTTAAATTGTTTAAGTAACCTTTCAAGGTGTCATTGAATGTATCCTTATTGCCCCCCAAGAATTGCCTCAGCCCGTGGAGGGGAAGGGTGCTCGGTCCCATAGTGGCTCCCCGTACAATCCCCTTTCCTGGGGGCTGACGGGCCTCAGCAAGGCACTGAGGATAAAAATCCTGCCTGCAGTCACAGCTGGGCTTCATCTGCAAGGCCTTCCAGCCCGCAGTGCCCCTCCGCCCTTTCCTGTGGGTTTTCTTGTGCCACTTTCTCCCCAGCAGTAATGTGGGCCCGGCTAAAGATACATTTAAATGCTTCTATTTGGCCGCACCAGTTCCTTCCTGTGGCGTGGAACACAGGATGGTCTGTCTGGGAGCGAGGGAGCGGGTTGGAGCTGCTGGACAGGCAGATAAAGCAGCATGTGTTCCTTTGCATCCTCCCCATTCAGTGCCCGAGGCCCCAGACCGGGCACCGGCTGGCTGCTTCTCTGTGTCGAGGGGACAAGAACTTCAGATGAATTGCTTCCTGGGTTCAGAAACCTCACCATCCTGGTGCTGGGGCCCCTCTTTGACATCTCAGAATCTTATCCCTTGTTCCACTCGGGCCAAAAATGTGCTTGTGTGGCCGCAGGCAAGCTTCTTGCAAACTTAGATAATAGGGGTCAGACTCCAGTAAGCCACGCAGCTCCGACTCTGGCCCACACCCACCGCCACGCTTTCTGTACAGCTCTTCACAGACGAAAGAAGAGGGTTTTCGACTGCGGCTGCAGACTTGTTTCCTCAGCAGCAGGCGACCGTGAACAAGTGTTTTGAGTCTTACACCCAAAACTCATTGCGGTGGAGTTAGACCTGCCCCAGTGGGTGTGTGAGGCTGTAAATATTCATGGGAGCAGGACGCTGCACCTTTCTCCTGGGGAGCAGCTGGTGGGTTTGAACTGCCGACCTTGCAGTTAGCAACCCAGTACGTCACCAGGCCTCCCTGGAGTCCTGCACAGCTGGGTTCAAAGCCCAGGTCTGCCCCTCACTCTCTGATCTTGGGCAAGTCACCCAAGCTTTCTGTCTCCATATTTTCATCCCTATGAAATAGGGCCTAGAATACCTGCCTTGTTCTAGGCATAAGAAAGGCTGGATGAAGAAACGGGCACACAGTCAACACTTCAAGGCCAGAACCCTAACGGGGAAGGAGGAGAATGCAAATGTCCTTGTGAGCGGTTGCCGCTCTCTGAGCTGTGACTAGGGATGTCTGAGAGTAAATCTCTCTGGCCCTGACTGGGGACTTTTCGGGACAGTCACCATGGAGACCTCGCCCTTCTCTGCTACGCTCAATGTCCGTGCCCACGAGACCTTCACCCACAGATGCCCTTCTCTTCTTGGCAACAGAAGGAAGGCGCGGACGTGCAGGAAAGGCCGGCCTCCTGGAGGCCCGGACCTCGAAGCTCTCAGGGCTCAGTTCTGCGAGGGCAGTTGTTGGACTTTCTGCCCTGTGTGTTAGATAATCTCCGGTCACGGTGAAGGGGGCGGAGCATAAAGAGCCTAGCTAAGAATTCTGGGTGGTGAACTTCATCCTGTGCCTGACCCTTGGGTATTGTCTGGAGAATGCCCTCCCCCGGTGCCCTCAGCCTTTACAGGGAGGCCACCTGAGGGCTGTTCGGTATGGGTGCGAGGCATGAGTCCTTTGGGTGGTCGTGTCAGGAAGGTACCAAAGTGCCTTTCCTGTGGATTCCCCACCGAATCATGATGAGGGCCCAAATGCCCGCACCTGGTGAGTGGATAAACTATGGTGTAGCCACACAGCCGCTAAAGGAGTGAGCTGCTGACACAAGCTCCAACGTGGCGGAACCTCGGAAACATGATAGTTCAAGACCAGGTGGGAGGGTGAGTCAAAAAGTCTTGCCAGCAGGGCCCCGTTCAGACACACACAGGTTCGTTCCAAGCAGCACGTGTTGTGATCAGCCGACAGCTAGACAAGTTCCTTCGGTGATACATTTATGCCTTCGCCTCGGGAGGCTTCCAAGGGGATCGGCTGGACCAGTTAAAATTCAAGGCAGAAAAGCCAGCTCAGAAGATGAGCAAACAAACCAACCAAGCTCCCTGCCATCGAGGCGATGCCAGCTCATTAGTGACCTTGTAGGACGGGGTAGAAGTGCCCCTTTTGAGTTTCCCAGACTGCCCTTGGCGGGAGCAGAAAGCCCCATCTTTCTCCTGCAGACAACTGTAGTGACGTTCTCCTTTCCAAACGTAATCCAAGGATTGGTTTTCCCAAAGGGCACCGGATAATTACAGGCGCTGATAAAAGAAGCAATTTAAAGAAACTTGAAGATGGCATTGGTGAGAAAAGACCGGGGCCTTTGTGCTGAGGAATGTTATTCCCTCGCCACCAGGCACCTGTTTGCTCTTGCAGGGTAACAGCAGGGCTGTCCTAGGGGAATTTCGTTGGGAAGCCTTCCCCCAACCGTTCTCCAGCCCTGATCTTGTCCCTTCAGACTTCTTTTTTGTTTCCCAAACTCAAATAACATTGAAAAGAGACACGGTTTGAGTCCCGGGAAGCTGCTGAAGCTCTGTTTTGACGTGTTGTTGGTCCCAGAGCAGAATTTTTTAGGGAAGGTTAGAGAGCAAGAAACCTCGCCTCCGGAAGTGTAGAGACCTCGATGGAAGAAATACCGAGAAGCAAGAGCTTCGGATTGTCGTAGTTGTGTCTAATGAGGAATTCTATGATTTTACAGCAAAACTTTTTGCTCTCCCATGACAGGATGCCATTTATAGGAAATGCTCCTAGTAGACCAATTCGTAAAGACAGCAGAGCAGTGACCCCCTAGGGCGGAGGGAGACTTGGCGGGCAGGAGGTCAAGAATACAGGGCTTCCCTTTGTGGTGAAGAAAATCACGTGAACTTGACCGTGGGGAGAGTTGCGCCCATCTGTGGACACACTACGCACCCCTGACTTGTCCATTCTGAGTGGGTGAATCGTGTGGCGTGTGACTCACATCTCCATAATGCTGTTACCCCCACTCCCCCGAACAGAAAAGGATCGATCCCTCACTGTTCTTCATCTCCTGCCCAGGTTTGTCCTGAATGAGCTGGTACAGACGGAAAAAGACTACGTCAAGGACCTAGGGGTCGTGGTGGAGGTGAGTAGCTGCCTCGGGTTGGAATGGTGGTCTCTGCACCAGGGCCCTCTTGTCCTCTATTTTAGCTGTCCGCCTTTAACTCAGAAATGGACATAAGATTCATGAAAGTGTACAAAGCAGTTATTTTCTTTTCCTGTTGAACCAGGATGCGATCTTTGAAGGAGCCTGGCACCCCAGCCCTGCAACACTGGGGGGAGCATCTTCGTTAGCACCCACTCCATTTCTCCATTTCTCTGGTGTTAGGTGACCCGTGATTGTCTCAGGAGCTTTCGCCGGGGGTCTCCTCAGGCGGAGGTCTTGTTGTTTTCTCAGACCCCGAGTTACCACAGACCCCGAGGAGACCACTCTGACTGAAACCTTTGGGGCTGGTGCATTTCCGTAGACGTGGAGAGCGGGAGCATCGTAACTGCTGATAGGACGCGCACAAGGAAACGCCCACTGATGTGGCAAGGTTGACACAGTCCACAGTTCACAGTGAGCCTGGGCGCAAGCCAAACAGAGCTCCCTCCCCATGGGGGTTCACCTCTGGGGACTTCAACCCTCACATGGGAAAGCCTAGGAGGTAAATGGATCATGTAGACAGCTTAGAGCCCTGTTGTTCATCAGCATCTTACGTGAAAGAATGTGAAATCTAAAGATGGATAGTGGACTGTCCAAATCACCCGCCGTTCCCTGAGAGTTGGCCTCTGTGCCCCCACCCTGAGGAGTCTGCTGACTCAGGGTTTACATCTGCTTTTCCCCGAGTGTTAGATAAACAGATGACCTGGCACCCAGAGGGCCTGAACTCTAACTAGTAGTAAGTTCCTCTCCGAGTGAGGGGCAGGTGAGGTAGGGGCTGTGGCCAGCTGAGGTAGGCTGAGGACGGAAAGGCAGACATTTGTGATTAGACGAAAAGCCATCCAGGAGCCTGCTGCCTTGACTTTCTCATCTTTCGGGGATAAATCCAATCTATGCAACCTTGTGTCTTTCTCTTAAAATGGAACTGTGACCTGTGTCTGTCACAGCACAGACGCCCCTGGGTGACTCTCAGCTGCTAATCAAAACGTTGGTGGTTCAAACCCACCCAGAGGCAGCTGGGAGGAAAGGCCTGGGGGAAGTCCGTCATTGAAAACCCACAGGCACACAGTTCCGGTCTGATATTCATGGGGTCTCCACGGGTCAGAATCCAAGCAACCGGTTACAAGGTTAATCAACGCAACTGGCCCCAGCGTCCGCATATTAAGGCTTTTCTCTAAACCAGATGCGTCTATAGCTAAACCTTTAAAGTTATGATTTATCTGGCTTGGGAGAAGGGAGAGGGACAGATGGCTGCCTTCTTCATTCCACATTCTTCGAGGGGGCCCCGACAAAGAAAGGGGCTCGGCCTTTCATAAAAGCCTTGTCCGACATTCCTCCACGAGGAAAGAGCTGGACGCACAAGGAGAACCTGCCAAAGCACTTGCCCTCGGAGTTACCCAGCGTGGTGAGCGCGGTGAGAGGCTCGGCCCGAGGGCCACCCGTGGAAACCACTCTGTTCATCGCAGCCTCTCCCACCCCCACTCAGGGCTTCATGAAGAGAATCGAAGAAAAGGGCGCCCCCGAGGACATGCGAGGGAAAGACAAGATCGTGTTTGGGAACATCCACCAGATTTACGACTGGCATAAAGAGTAAGTGTGCTGGTCACGTCGGCGGCCTGTGTCTGACCTACGTGGTGGGGCTGGGGACAGCAGCCTCTCATCTGTCTCGACCGTGAGAAGTCACAGCGCTCAGTGACGGGGCTTCTCTCGCTTCTCTCCTCTCCGTCTAGCTTTTTCCTGGCAGAACTGGAAAAATGCGTGCAGGAGCAAGACAGGCTGGCCCAGCTCTTCATCAAGCACGTGAGTGAGGGCCGGCGCGCCCCCGCCCCGCTCACCAGCCTCCGTTCCCCTGGGTTCTGTTTTCGGTGTGATACTTTTTTAATGCAGAAGATGTAAGAATGAAAAGAGCAACAGTTCGCAGCAGGTGTCTCCAGGGCTATTAGATCATGAAAAGAGCAGCCGTGTCGATAAAGCATTGTAGACACAAACGTGTTTCCCACCCCAGTTACTTATGATATACAGTAAATGGTGATCTTTTAGTGTCCAATAAGAAGACAATGGCTTTTATACAAACCTACTCTTCGTAGGTCATCAAGTTAATGTCATTCGTTAATTGATTCGGCTGAGAATGGTTTTGAAACCTAGCGCTTTAAAGGGTCATCTGCAAAAATAAAGGAAACGTTCCCTAGGGTGGATTGATTGTGGGGGCCGCAGCAGTGGGTGAGAGTGTGCCTGTGGGTGTGAGGATGGTCAGGGGCGGTTCATCATGCCCTTCATCAGAGATGACTCAAGTGTAACTCACGGCAACAGACAAAATGATACACATTCGACAAATTCAATCCAGGCAACTCTATGCCCGTGACTTGCCCATCTAGTGTTTATTCTTTTCTTATGACTCAACGCTATTGCTCTATAGTCAGAGAATTGATAACATATGGTATGTTTGATTTGGAATATCCATTGTGGCAAGGTTTATATAGGAGATTGTACTGGGAGTAGTGTTTGTGTACTAGCAAATGTTTACGTGGATCAGTTGGTTGTAAAATCTTTTATTTCTTCTTTTTTACTCTTCTCAGTTTTTTTCTCAGTTTCATTCTTGACTCCAGACTCACCTTCTTGGCTCACCTCTCTCTGGCGGTTTTTTTATACTTATTGCTTTTATCCTTATCCGTATCCTTCTTTTATCCAACACGGCAGGCGAGCTTTTGCCAACAGCATTTACTTGTACATCTCTGAAACTTTAACTGCTTTCCTGCACCCCCAAACCCAAATCTGTTGCCTTGGAGTTGGTTTTGACCCATGCGGCCCTGGGTGGTACAGAGTCAAATGCCCCATGGGGTTTTCTCGGCCGTGATCTGTGTGGAAACAGATCGCCAGGCCTTTCTTCCAGGGCACCAAGGGGTGAGTTGGAGCCGCCATCCTTGAAGTTAGGGGCAAGCACAGTGCATCTGTGAACGTGGGCCATCTCCATATCTTTATCTGGGTGGAGACCAGTGTGACAAAGATCCCTCGCTAGAACAGTGCCTCTTCTCATTTCAGGAGCGCAAGCTGCACATCTATGTGTGGTACTGTCAGAACAAGCCGCGCTCCGAGTACATCGTTGCTGAGTACGATGCCTACTTTGAAGTAAGTTTCTCAGTCCTCACTCAGACCAGGGCAGGGGCAGGCCACGGAGGCCCACGCACCGATGTGAGGTGCAGACATAGTGAGTCAGCCATCGCTCAGGTGTGGATGGCTCCATACAGCACACGGTGACCCTGATTCTACAGAAATAGCTGCCTCGACAGAGCAGTGGGTGTCTTAGGCAAACCTCTGTGTGCACCTTTGCTTGGGAAGTGCTGAGTTGGCCCAGTCTGTGGACTGTGTGCAGACGCTCCGTTTGGTTCTGTGAATGTAGAAACTGTTTTAGAAGCTCTGGTCTGCCCTTGTCCATGACCTCAGAGCGCGCTCGGCTCACACTTTCTCAGCAGCCCTCTGGACCATGCTCGTTGAGGACCGCCCTCTGCTGAGACGTTCGCAGTCACCCGGCGGCTCACGCTCCTGGTCTCGGAGGCCCATGGAGCAGCTCCGCGTGCTAGCTAGCCCATAGCCTGGACATCGTCCTTAATGGTAGAGAGGCCACACCCTGGCTGGAAAAGCCCTCAGTTGAGGGCTTGGAGCTCTGTGGCCTGTTGGGTCCTCAGGAAAGCCCGTCAGTCTGGACCTCTCCCTGCAGCGGCAGGGCGAACGTAGCCTTCTGCCTGGTCTCCCAGCTCTGGGGTGGGGCGAGAAGGTGGCGGTGTCACGTGTGGATGACAGAGCCGCAGCTGGGTAAGGCAGCTCCACTCCTCGTGGCTTCCAGAGATTCTAAAGCTGCACTGGAATCTCGGGAGACCTGCCTTCCTTGCCTCTGACCCCTGATCCAGAGCACTCTCCCGTTGATTGGTGAGGGGTTTTTTTGTAACCTAGCTCCTTTGTGTTTCAGGAGCTGAAACATGAGATCAATCAAAGGCTGACGCTTAGCGACTTCCTCATCAAGCCCATTCAGAGAATAACCAAGTACCAGCTGCTCCTCAAGGTAAGAGAGCCCTGAGCTCTGGCCCCGAGCCGAAAGGGCCTTCTGGGGCTCAGAGCAGTCCAGCCTGGGCTCCTGACCCCACCGCCCTTTCCGAAGGGCTAGGCAGCTAGGCCGTTATCTTACCCGTCCGCCTCTTTTGTCAGCTTTGTCCCCAAATAAACTGTATGACTGCGGTCCCTGTCTTTACAGTTGGCTATCACTGGATAGGAAGAAGTCTGGGGGCGCAGTGGTTACACATGGACCTGCTAACTGCAAGGTCAGCAGTTCAAAACCACCCGCCAGCTCCACAGGAGAGACAGGGCTTTCTACTCCCCTAACCAGTTACAGTCTCAGAACCCACGGGGCAGTCCGGTTCTGTCTGACAGGGTCGCAGTGAGTCGGCATCGGCTCGATGGCAGAGTTTGGGTTTTCGGTTTTACCTGAGAGCCTCCTTTCGGTTCACTCTCGTGCTTTGTCCCAGTCTCTGCCTGTTTACCGTGCCCCCCCTCCCCTCCTCCCAACAAGAAAAGAGGAGAGCGTAGAATCAGTGGCATGTGAAGGAGCAGGAAACGAAAATCCCCAGGCAACTTAAGTAACACCTAAAATTTTATTGTTACGTGTTTAACCTGATTTCTTTATGGAAACGAGGTAAATGGAAGAGATTTAATGTTTCCTTCCATTCATTTTGTCCTCCCCCCTTTCCTTTTCCCTTCTCTCTCTCTCTCTCTCTCTCTCTCTCTCTCTCTCTCTCTCATCTATCGCTCCTCTCGGGGTTTTGACCGTTTCTGGGGTTTCTCTTGATGATGTCCTTGCTGAGCTACGACACACCATTGCTCTCTCTGCTGGGAAGAAAAGTCTTCTGGGCAGGATCACTTTTTTTTAGGCCGACTTGGGGTTTTTTAAATAGCTCTCTGACTGGTTAACTAACTGATTTCGCTCCTCCCTACGCCCTTCTCCGCTTCCCCTGCTGGCCAGGACTTCCTGAGATACAGCGAGAAGGCTGGTCTGGAGTGCACAGATATCGAGGTGCGTTTTCTGTGGGTAACGCCCGCCGGTCTTCGGCTCTCTGTGTCTCTCAGGGAAGACAATGTCCCTGGGGAGGGAGGCGTGCAGGCTGAGTCCTCCGAGAATGGGCGCAGGAGCCCCAGCTACTTGGCAGGATGAGCAACAGGGAATGTGCTTATGTGACCACCTTGGGCACTTTTTGCAGAATTTGAGAATTCTGTCATGGGCCAGACCCTAGCTCAGCCCCCACGGGTGCCCTCCCTGTAGCTCTCAGAGACCTGACATGGGCAAGGGTGCCATGAGACCCCATTTCACACTTGTCAGAGAGTGGGGCTGTGGGAGAGTGTCGTCGCCCCCACGGATCTGAGTGCTCTTTGAAGCTACCTACGAAATGTTCCCATTTCACTCGCCGCCCCTCCTCCACGAGAATCACCCTCTAAGTGGGGTCCTTCGAGGCGCCATGGAGATGACTTTCGACCCGAGAGTTTGCGAGCTCTTCCCACAGGTCTTCTCGGGTTATACACAACCTCATGATCCACGCGCCAGGGTACCCGCTGCCCAGGCAGCCGGGAAACAACAGAGGGGAGAGGTAGCGGGGAGGAAAGGGCACTGGTAAACAAGAAGGAGGGAAGACACAGACGGGCTAGTAGACCCCCATGAGACTCAGCACCCCCCCCCCAATGGTCACTGATCCACAAAGAGGCCCGTGTGGACCACCAGCATGCCTCCACCAGTACAGCAAACCCCACGCTCCCGAGAAGGGTCGGCAGAGACCCGAGTCGAGAATGAAGGAGCCCTGGTGGCACTGTGGGGTCCCACCTGGGCTGCTAGCAGAAAGGTTGGCAGCTCCAACCCGCCAGCCGCTCCTCAGGGGAATGATGAGGCTGTTCGTTTCTGTGAAGATGGCCAGTCTCAGAAACCCTGGGAAGCAGATCTCCTCTGTCTATGCCAGAGGGCAGCTGTGCCTCGAAGGGCCTCGGCGACGGTGGGTTTCAGTTGGCTTGGCTTCTAGAGTATAAAGGGCCCTTGGTGGTGTAGTGGTCAAAGCACTAGGCTGCACACCTAAGTGTCTGTAGTTCGGCTCGCAGCGGTCCCATGGGAGAACGCTGTGGCAGTCTGCTTTCGTAGATTTACAGCCTCGGGAACCCCACGGGACGATTGCCGTCTGTCCTATAGGGCTGCAGAATCGACTCAATGACACGGCAGTGGGTTGGAGGTGGGTTTCTAGATCAAGGAGCGGCAGGAGGCGAGGCCCCTGTCTCCTGGCACAGAAGTGCCGCCAGCTCCGTGCCGTGTGCCCTTCCCCCTGTGAGCGACTACTGTTCTTGACCCCACAGAAAGCCGTGGAGCTAATGTGCCTTGTTCCGAAACGCTGCAATGACATGATGAATCTGGGACGCCTCCAGGGCTTTGAGGTGAGCCCTTAGGGATGCTTCGCCGGGTGGGCTGTGGGAGTCCAGGCCCTGCGGGCCTCTGCCCTCGAAAGGCTCAGTGCTCTTCCTCAGCCCTTCTGCTGCACAGCCTAAAGTAGGACGCCTGGTGACAGGGCCATCAATGACCCGCCAGGGCAATCCTCCAACAGCAGTCAGAGTTCCAAGGGACCAGGGAAGCCCAGAATTCTTGGCAACCCTTTGAGCCTTGCGATAGCCCCCTCCCTTTTCTCCCTTATTTGAGAACTGAGAGGCCTGAGAGGGGAGCAGGGCTAGGTGACAGAAGTAGGACTCCAGATGGAAAAGAAAGTACTTCTTCTTCTTCATCTTCGTCTTCTTTTTTTTCTTAGAAGGTGGTATGAAGGAATGAGCTGCCTGGTAGCTGGCCTTTTAGTAAATGAACATTGAAGGCTCCGAAACACGCCAGTGGTTCATAGAAGAGTGGAACCAAATTTTAGGCCAAACAGCTAGATCTTGATATCCGTGGACTTGATTTAAGCTTCTTGAGTGGCTGTCCCCGAAGCTTGTCAGTTAACTGAACATGATCTGTTTTTCCCTAAGAAGAAGACAGAAGTGGTATGGACCCAGTCGTTGACTGGTACTTAGGGGGCGTTGAAGGCCTGAGAGAGGGAGAGATGGGACTTTGATAATCCTGTACCTCAGTCATCTTTGCAACCTAAGATTCTATTAGCACTTTTGAGCGGAAAGGCTTCCTGGAAGTTGAGGTCATGAGAGAAGTAACAGCTCCCTCCCCACCGAAATGTCCACGTCTTCACGTAATAGCGCCCACCCCTACCTCAAATTAAAAACTTAAAGACAGACTCGTAAGGTAGTTAAATTTAGGAGGTTTCTGGTATTTTTGAGCTCCAGTGGAACAGAGTTTATGGGCTCAGCTACTACCCAAATGGTTCAAACCCACTGGCCACTCGATGGGAGAAAGATGTGGTGTCTGCTTCCGAGAAGACGGAAAGATCTCACCGCCTTGAAAACTCTGTGGGCAGGTCTCTGCCCTGTCAAGTTGCTGCAAGTTGGAAGGGACCGCAGGGTAGTGGTGTTTCTGATGCTCCCGGGGCACACAGTCTTGTTCTTGCCTTCCCGGTCTGTTCTGGGGCTCTGGCTGGTTTCCATTGCTTTCTTGTGACCCGGAATTGCGAGGTGTTGTTCCTCCCTGTTCTGTGTCACGGGTTCCCAGTTCTCCAAGGTAGCCCTGCAACATGAGCATGAGCTAAAACAGGCTCAGAGCTCTTGAGTCTTATGGATGGAGTTTGACGTTTTCCCACTCCAAGGCCACTCTGAGCAAAGCCTTCTGCTCGTAAATCCTGAAGGGCCCCATGTTTTCTGAACTGGAGTCCCGCTTTACATTCTCTGCATCTCCGCAGGAGCTGTTGCTGGCAGGTGGAATGATGTCAGATGGTGCCATCTGACTCAAGGTCACGTCCACAGGGACTGTCCACTGTGTGTGCGTCCGAGGAAGGCCACATGGGAGAGTGGGGTTCTTTCCTCCCCTAAGCCCGAGTGCCGCTCTCTCTTCATCCCATCAAGACCCAGAGAAGCTGCTTTGCATTCCTGCAGCTCATTGGGTAAAGCCATGAAGGTACTCCCGTGCCTTCTGAAGTCCATGGCTTTGGGCCTGAGAGAAACCAGCATCCTCACTTAGAGTCTCCCTACCTTTCAGATCTCCTGTCTCTCCCTTTCACATCCACAGAGCTGTAACCCAGGAGCCAAGCTCTTGTGTAATATGACTGGAGGTTGGAGAACTTTCCAAACTAGCTGGGTCACTGGCTTATGACTGTTAACTTTGGACCAGGGGAGAGAGATGCCCGTTTGGCTGCTGACCTAGGCTGTTAGAAGCCATGATTCAAACAGAGCATGGAAGCAAAGTGACCCGCATGCTGGGTAGGGTGTGGAACAGTCTCACACGCACAGGTCGGCCCACATTTGCAGTGCAGGGCCGAAGCTGGTCCCAGTTAGAGCAGCATTCACAGGAGGCCCAGCTGTCCCTCAGTTAGGGTCTTCTCCCTGCAGAGCGGTAGAAAAGTAGCATCTGTGAAGAGTTGGGTAGATGAAGAGCTGGAGATCTGGAAATCTGGCTCGAAACTGGCAAACCAAGTAGGCTACGCCTTCTCACCTGGGCGTCAGGTGGCCTAGCCACTGGAGCCTTTTTAGGAAGGATCACAGGACCCAGAAAAATGTCTTCCAGCTTAGAATTGATGGGAACCGATTTGTGGTACCCCTACCTTTCTCTCTCTCGGTCTGTACCAGGAGGCTAGGAGTACAGAGTTCCTCCATCCTAAGATAATGGAAGTAAAAGAGAGGGGCCCAACTCACCTCATTATGGTGTCCCGCCGGTCATAGTGCATTCCAGGTGGATGGACAAGCGAGTATGCAGGGTCTTGGCAGCGTTGCAGGGAGCAGAGAGCTGCTTCCTTTCTCTTCTCCTCTTCATGGAACACAGGAAGGGCCAGGAGAGTTCCTGACGCTCTTTACGCTGGGAAGTTTTACTTTTCTTCCTGGAACTGCTTCGTGGTGGCTTCTTCGCCTTTTTCGCTTTTCCTCTCTCCCTCGAGGGTCCTTGTATGGATGGACAGCAAGGGGCCATAGTCGGCCCCTTGAGGAAGGGGATTGTTCTCTGTCCCCAAGTGAGCGCCACCTCGTGCTGGCCCCACGCTCGACGGGACAGCAGGTTGCCTGGTCTGAAGTCATCTTCACCACCAGTCATGGGTGCGATTGGGCCCACCAATCATGGGTCCCCATGTTCTTTGAGCTCCTCCCAACTGCATATTTTAAGGAGTTCGTCTTTCAGCAAAGAGGTCTCCTGGCGTAGTGGGTTACACGTGGGGCTGCTGACCTCAAGGCCAGCAGTTCGAACCCACCAGCCACTCTTTGGGAGAAGGATGAGGCTTTCTGCTCCTGTAAAGATGTACAGCCTTGGAAACCCACAGAAGCCGTTCTACTGACCTCTTGGGTTGCTATGAGCCTGAATGGCGTCTGATGGTAGTGATTCGGGACTGTCGTCTGTCTTCACTGTATCAGACAAAATCCTGTTGTGACCCTCGCCGTTTTCTCGGGCTAATCTTTGGCAGTGGATCACCAGACCTCTCTTCTAGCCTGTCTTAGTTTAGAAAGTCTATTGATACCTGTCCATCACGGATGACCCTAACGGTCTTCACGATCCCGGTAACATAGCCGCATGGAGGCACCACAGTTCAGCAGGCTGACCGATGGGTGATGGCCAGATGGGGCATGGTCTCGTACTTGAGTTGAGAAGCTTGGGGTGCGGGGACTGTCTCTGATATCCCCCCGGCAGGACACTGTGGCCTGTAAGGACTGTGGTGCTTTCCCTGGGTTTTCACTCGCTCTGCCTGGTCCCTCCTCCTGCCAGGGCACCCTGACCGCTCAGGGGAAGCTGCTGCAGCAGGACACATTCTACGTGATTGAGCTGGATGTGGGCATGCAGTCCCGGACCAAGGAGCGGCGCGTGTTCCTCTTCGAGCAAATTGTCATCTTCAGTGAGCTGCTCAGGAAGGGCTCCCTAACACCAGGCTACATGTTCAAGAGGAGCATCAAGGTGAGCCCGGTGGGGAGGAGAGGGAGAACAGCGTGCCGAGAGCTGCTTGCTGAAGACGCTGGCACTTCCGTGAGCAGCGGTCAGTGCGATGCTTGGAAGGTCATGCAGCCCACAAACCTCGAGTCATGGAGGTTTTGTAGACAGTGCTGGTCTGGGAGAAAATGTGAAGCACCAGTGCCAGTCTTCGGCACGCTTCACCGAGAGGAAGCCATTCACCCAGAGGCAGCAACCCACAGAGCAGCCGAGTCGATCCAGGCCCAGGTTTTGGAGACTTCTCCTGAAATAAAAAGCTGGGGGGCACTGTCATGTGTTGCTGAACTTTTTTTTTTTTAATCCACTGAAATATGAAAAAGATTGAGTTCGTGTCTTGCAGATGAATTACTTGGTCCTGGAAGAGAACGTGGACAATGACCCCTGCAAGTTTGCGCTCATGAACCGGGAGACCTCGGAGAGGGTCATTCTGCAGGCCGCCAACGCTGACATCCAGCAGGCCTGGGTGCAAGACATTAATCAAGTCTTGGAAACACAGCGAGACTTCTTAAATGGTGTGTACTGTGCCTGGTTTCTAGCAAGGTCATTTTCAACGCATCCACCTACCCCCTACCCCCATTCCCTCAACACACACACACACACACACACATCTAAGCTTCTGTGGGTCTGGGTTCCGAATGAGTTATGAGCTCAGACCGTGTTTTACATGGGCTCCAACTCTGCAGTTTTTAGAAAGACTATGTTTAACATTTTTCTGAACCCGAATATACAAGGAGAACAGAAGAGGCATAAGAGAGAAGCCTCATCTCTTTCTGTTGTTTTCTCCCCCCTTCTTTTCTTAGAGTTATTCTCTCATCATCTATGCGCCGGGTTCTACATGTGACCACCACTGCCAGCCGGCGGTAGTTGTGGGCGTGATTGAGATGGGGGCCAGCTCTAAAGGACCCGTTTTCCTATTTGGGGCATTGGCTGGTGCCCGCACAGATTCTTTGGTGTCTGTTTGAGATGACCAGAAGTTTGGCAAATCGGGGGAAATCCGTGCTCTGCTCCCAACTGTGTCAGAGCCCAGAGAAGGCATCTCGCGAGCCCAGACCGTTTCCATGAGAGCTGATCGCTCGCTCGGCATTTCCCTGAGCCCTGGCCTCTCCCAGAACAAATGGCTGCGCACCCAGAAGTGCAGCTCTCTGTGCACTCTGCAGGAGCTTCCCCGGGCTGTGTGAACTGGAAGAAAGTTGACGTACTCCCGTTGACGGTTCTCTGTATTTTTCTCTGCTGGGATGGCCTTCACATTGTCCTCGCTTGGCCTGTGAAGGGAGGAGATGGGTTTAAACGCGTACTTGTCCACGGGGTTGGGGAACGCAAACGTGTCTCTGAGCAGAAGCACCTAGAACTTGAAGTGGAAGTGAGGGGCAAAAGGGAAGTGAAGACGTGTACACCTGGAGGGTCAGCAAGCACTTCTGTATTTAGCACACGTGCACGCACGCACGCACGCACGGGCACAGCTGCCCTGGGATGTACCATCTCTTCTTGCCCATGGAGCAGGGAGACCTGTAGTCTACATGCACACACATATCCACACACACACTTACACACGGGGCTACCTTCAGGTGCCCCACCTCGCCTTGCTGGCCCTGAGATCTGGCCCGTATATTTAATATCTGGATAGGCATGTGCACACACACACAGAGGTCACATCTAGTGTGCCACATCCTCTCACCAGTGCTGTGATCTGGACTCTTTCAATGATACAAACAGAGCCCTCACTGGGACAGAGTCCAGCATGGGTCTGGAAGCTGTAAGGAAGGGTACAGGGAGGCCATCCTCAGTGAGGACGCCGGGCAAGTAAATGATGTCTGTCTCCGCCTCTGCTTCCCCTGTTTGTGAGAGGGAATGGGGCTAATCTTCTGTCTCACGCTGGCAGCACTTCCAACAGTACTGG